GATACTACGGTTTGGAATCCAGTGATCGAACGGGTTGAAAAAAGATTAGCAGGGTGGCAGAAAAGGTATTTGTCAAAAGGAGGTAGGGAAGTGCTTATCAAAAGCACTTTATCGAGTATGCCCACCTATTACTTATCACTGTTGCAAGCACCGGTGAGCATCACAGAAAAACTGGAGCGACTTCAAAGAAACTTTCTGTGGGATGCGGCGGATGGAACTAGAAAGTTTTATCTAGTGAATTGGCAGACAGTCACGTCCCCAAAGAAATGGGGTGGACTTNCCTAGGCCTCCCTTTGGGCGCTTCATATAAGGATACTACGGTTTGGAATCCAGTGATCGAACGGGTTGAAAAAAGATTAGCAGGGTGGCAGAAAAGGTATTTGTCAAAAGGAGGTAGGGAAGTGCTTATCAAAAGCACTTTATCGAGTATGCCCACCTATTACTTATCACTGTTGCAAGCACCGGTGAGCATCACAGAAAAACTGGAGCGACTTCAAAGAAACTTTCTGTGGGATGCGGCGGATGGAACTAGAAAGTTTTATCTAGTGAATTGGCAGACAGTCACGTCCCCAAAGAAATGGGGTGGACTTGGAGTGAAAGATCTTAGGGTTTTTAACAGAGCCTTAATGGGAAAGTGGTTGTGGAGATTCGGGGTAGAAGAGCATGCTCTATGGAGGGAGGTCATAGTAGAAAAGTACGACTCAACGGGAAGGGGTTGGAGGACCAAGGCGATCACAACACCTTTCGGGTGTGGCATGTGGAGGAGTATCATGAAGATTTGGGAAGCATTCAGTGGCAACATCACTTACAGGGTGGGAGATGGAAGGAGAATCAGCTTTTGGAATCATAGGTGGTGTGAAGAGTATACTCTCAGGGTCTCCTTCCCCACGTCTTCAGAGTTTCAAACCAGAAAGAACTGTTGGCCCAACAGATTCGCAAGGAGCATGAAGGGGGTAGTATGGGACCTCTCATTCAGTAGAAACATGCAAGATTGGGAGATTGCGGAGCTTCAAGTTTTGTTGGCACTCTTGTACGGGCAAGACAGGCTTCAGCCATCCTGTGACTCTTGGAGATGGGGCTTGCGTGGCGATGGCTTGTTCACCGTAAAGTCCTTTTACCAGAGTATGTTGGTGAGAGAGGAGACCACTTTTCCATACTCCTCGATCTGGATTCCTAGGGCGCCCACGAAGGTGTGTTTTTTTGCATGGCTAGCGGCAAAGGGAGTGATCTTGACTGCTGAAAATCTCCGAAAGAGGGGAATTACACTTGTTAGTTGGTGCTACATGTGCAAAAGCTCAGGGGAAGAAGTTGATCACCTTATGTTGCATTGCCCTGTGTCCTCTGCTTTGTGAAGGGCAATCCTGAATCTTTTTGGTGTTCAATGGGTGATGCCAAGCTCTGTAAAGGAAATGTTACATAGTTGGGGCGGTTTTCGTAGAAGAAGAAAGCAGAAAGCGTGGAAGTTCGCCCCGTTAGCCCTCATGTGGGTAGTATGGGGGGAGAGAAATATGAGAGCTTTTGAGGAGATTGAGTCTCCTTTTTCATATCTTAAGAATAGTCTTTTATCTTTGATCGCTTTTTGGTGCACTCATTTAGCCCCTACGTGTATAGAAGATTGGGCGGTTTTTTGTAGAGAATCATGTTCTGATGTAAATTATCTACGTCTTTGGTATACTTCGTGTATACGGGAGTTCTCTCCCTTTTGATTAATACATTTTACCTTATCAAAAAAAAAAAAAGAGACAGACTAAAGTAATCTTAGCCATGGGAGAAAATGTATCACCATAGTCGAGTCGAACATATGTGTATAAACGTTGGCAACCGATCATGCCTTTAGCCGACCAATCTGTCATTAGGCCAATCTTCATCATGCATACCCATCGATAACCGACAATTGATTTATCCGGAGGTAGAGGAACAATCTCCCGAGTATCACTAGAGTGTAAAACAGGCATTTGCTCAATCATAGCTTGTTACCAGCTTGTTGTTGGTGATGCCGATGGAGGATTATTGTGTCTTTGCTTCTCTCCAAAGAAAATTTTGTCAGTCATCATCCTCTCGGTGATATCTGATATTTGGAACAATCCATAGAATTTTGTCATGCATCTGGGCATGTAACTCACTTCCAGCACTTCTCATATTTGTAGAATTACAACAGCTATAACAACAATGGCGATGATTAGAATAATAGTTATAATAATGATATTAATGCCAATGATACTTTCAAATAAATAAATAAATAATGCCAATGATAGTAATAGTAATAGTAATAATAAAAAATAAAATAAAAATAAAAACAATATGCTAGTGGTAGAACTAATCATTATAATATTAGTAAAGAAAAAAGGGCAGCCCGGTGCACAAAGCATCCCGCGTTCACGCAGGGTCCAGGGAAGGGCCGCACCCAAGGGGTGTGACGTAGACAGTCTACCCTAATATAATCATTAGTGGTTGCTTCCACTGCTTGAACCCGTGACCTATAGGTCACACGGAGACAACTTTACTATTACTCCAAGGCTCCTCTTCAATTATAATATTAATAATAACTGTTATTATGTGTATCATCGTCATCTCACCGCCCTCATCTATTATCTACTCCTAATGTTTGAAATGCAAAACTAACTTGTATCGAGTTAGTTATGACGCTCACCTTTTTTCTTGCCGTCTTTCAGAACAATCTGGATGAACTTTTTATGCTTATGCACTTCCTTGATGCTGGAAAGGTTAGTGCCCTGACAGGTTTCTAGAATCAGCTTGTATCTAACCAATTTGCTTGTTGGTTTATTGTGATGTGATATCTATATGGAACTTGATTGCAGTTTGGAAGCTTGGAGGAATTCCAACAGGAATTTGAGGATATTAGTCAAGAAGAACAGATTTCAAGACTTCATAAAATGCTGGCACCCCATCTGCTCAGAAGTATAAATCTCAAACTGTTTTCATGATTTGTCATGGATGTACCTTAGTTGTTTATAGTTTACATTGATTTGGGAAAGTATGTATTATCAGGATGTTCCAACATACTACTCACAAATCTTTGCATATTAATTCCTAAATTGTCATTCTTTATAATAACTGGGTGGTGTAAGCACTTCCAAATTGTAGTGGGTCCAACAACTAAGAATTAGATGCCAAGTGCTCCTTACCATCATTTGTCATTGGAAATTCTATCTTGCCTGTCCCTAGCCTCCTCTCAAATCCGCCACAATATCATTAGATGACTGTAGTCTGCTATTCTCCTGGAGCCCCACATGCATGCTTACTCCTGAGTACCTCATTGGTATAGAGTAGGAGTGGCAAACGGTCGGGTTGGATATGGTTCGGGTAAAAAAACGGGTAATAAAAAAACGGATAAATTATCCGACCCGACCCATATTTAATACGGATAAAAAACGGGTTAACCGGCGGATAATATGGGTAACCATATTATCCATGACTTCTTGAATATGATCACTTTTGGGAGAATTCTTAATCTCCCAAACTTGAAGAACCCCTAATTTGAGGCTTTACAAATGTAAAAGTTAAACCTATTAATTATCCATTGGTTACCCATTGGTTATCCATTTTCTAAATAGATAATATGGTTCTTATCCATATTTGACTCGTTTCTAAAAAGTTCATTATCCAACCCATTTTTTACTGGATAATATGGGTGGTTAACTGTTTTCTTTTAACCATTTTGCCACCACTAGTATAGAGTATAATGCTGCATAGGGACAAGTGGATTAAGCTTCTGAAGATTTTGCAGTCTTTCTGAAAAGTTAGAGATTAGCTTAATGTACAAGTACTTACAGTTCCAGAGTGGGCTGATAGTTAAGTTCAAAAAAGTGTCATGGGATGGGACAGTGCTTCAAGATACATCATCTTTGTTCGTTTTTATGGAACGTGCTTGAGCAATGGTGTATGTGTGTTTTGTCGGCCGCAGGGGTCAAGAAAGATGTCATGAAGGAGCTACCTCCAAAAAAGGAGCTCATTTTACGTGTGGAATTGAGTAGCAAGCAGAAAGAATATTACAAAGCAATTCTGACACGTAACTTCCAGATACTGACTCGCAAGGGAGGTGCTCAGGTGCGCCAGCTTCTTCTGTTTGATATATCCTTCTTGCTTTATAACAGGAATTCTGACCTTGGTTGATACTTGTCTATCAGATTTCCCTCATAAATGTGGTTATGGAACTGCGGAAGCTCTGCTGTCATCCATTTATGTTAGAAGGTGTTGAACCAGAGGATAATAATGAGTTTACCAAGTATATATCTTATCTTATAATCCACTGTATTAATCTCTTCTGTGCAGAAGATCAAGTTTATTGTTGTAGTTTTCTAAAGGAATTTTGTGGCACTTCTGATTTTGCTAAACTGTTACCGGCCTCCATTATTCTGGTCATAGGTCCGGCCTATAATTTTTCAAAATGGCACTTAATGGACAGTTAATGAAAATCTAGAAAAGGTGTTATAAGGTAAGTTGGAACTCTTTTATTTACCTTATTAATAAAAAATTCAAACTGTCTTTTAACAAAGGAATATAACAGGCAGAAGGTTAGGGGGGAATCATCTGTGTTGGGGGTGGAGTAGGATATATGTCATTTATGAAGGGAATGTGGGGTTCAATTGGGGCGGGGTGTTGTTCCCTGTGAACGGGATATGGACAGGGAAAGGAGGGTGGTTTCTAGGCTTTCCAATATTGAAAAACAGACGAATGTCAGCAGCTAGAGCAGGTAGAAGAACAGCATATTGTGGGACGAAGAGATGTGGTAGTGAGGGTTGTGATCAAGCCAACGGGAAGGGAAAAAATTGTACGGGCGAAGTGATAAGGGGGTGGCGGTTGTGAGAGGATGACAAGGGCTGGGGGCTAGGGGAAGGTGATAGTTGTGGCTGCTCTGAGTAGGGACACTAATGTTGGACTGTCCAGGAGTCCCGGGACCACTTGGAAGGCGTGGGCTAAAACACACGAAAATATGGGAATCGCGCGGAATTCTTGTTTTTTGGCCGTAAAATGCAAAAAATGAGGAAAGGTCATGGCGGGGCGGTGACTATGGTTCCTTAGGTCGTATTTGATAGTCCGAAAAAATTTTAGGAGATCCGGTTCTGGGGGGCCCTACCCACTGGGAAGGCGTGGGCTAGCACACGAAAATATGGGAATCAGGCGAAATTCAAGTTTTTTGGCTGAAAAATGCAAAAAATGAGGAACGATCATGGTGGAGCAGTGACCATGGGTGCAATAGGTTAAATGAGATGGGGTTCTCTTCTCACTTTCCTGTTTGTGTCAGAGCAGTCTCTTCTTGATAAGAAAGTAGTGTTTCGTTCCTTTTTCAACTTTTTTTTGATGTCTCCACGTCAGCGTGCCAAATTTCCCTAAAAGGAATAGTGAGATTCTTCTATTTTCTTTTTGATGATACCATTTAATTTGGACGAAAGCTATTGTTTTAATCTGCTAAATATAGGTGGTCATAGGAGTTTCATATAATAATTGGGTCCTAAAGTGCAAAAATCCTTCTTTTAGAAGCTGGAGTGTTATGTATTGCCTTAGTAATAATGTTGCCTACTGAGATCGTTGATGATCTTGCCTGCAAGAAGGGTGTACCACCGGAGCTTCTTTTTAGTAGAAAATGTACATTATTGAGCTCCTTCTATCAACTTATGGTTTCTCTACACTGTGGATCGATTTGATTGGGCAGGCAGCTGTTGGAATCTTCTGGCAAATTACAACTTCTGGACAAGATGATGGTTAAGCTTAAAGACCAAGGTCACAGAGTTCTTATATATTCACAATTTCAGCATATGCTCAACTTGCTTGAAGACTACTGTAACTATAAGGTAAAGAGACTTGTTTTTTATTATTTTAAAACCTGGTCTCATGCTCATCTTTATTTTCTGAAAATTTGATGCACTTACCTGTAAATGTTTGCAGAAATGGCAATATGAGCGGATTGATGGAAAAGTTCCCGGTGCAGAAAGACAAATCCGAATTGACAGATTTAATGCAAAGAATTCTTCAAGATTCTGTTTTCTGCTTTCCACTAGGGCTGGGGGTTTAGGAATTAATCTTGCAACTGCTGACACAGTAATTATATATGATAGGTAATATAATATTCCAGAATGCTCTCTCTCTCTCCCCACACAAATGGGTGCCGTCTCAACTTGCTTAGCACTCTGGGAGATTACTGTAATTCTTGGATCAATACGCTTGAATGAAAGCATGCCACTGATCAATTACCTNTTTTTTTTTAAAAAAAAAAATAATATCGGCCAGAGATGTGTTTATATGGAGTAACATGGTCAGTAGGATTTGTATAGCGGACCTCAGCTTGTTTGGGACTGAGGCTTAGTTGTTGTTGTTGTTGTTATTGTATGTGCGTGTGGTTCTTCTTGCTTATCTCTTTAGTGTCTATCTCTCAGTGATTGGAATCCCCATGCTGACCTACAAGCAATGGCTAGAGCTCATCGGCTTGGACAAACAAATAAGGTTACAATTTCTTCCATTCTGGTGTACTTGGCCCCCCAAAAAAATTTGATATCCATTAGCCTTGACGTCATGGCAAAAGAAGAAATAGTTATGTTGACAGTGTTTTCTTGGCCTGGATATAAGGTTTTAATAGGTGTTTTCATTTTTGATTTTGCAGGTAATGATCTTTCGACTCATAACAAGAGGAACCATTGAGGAAAGAATGATGCAAATGACTAAGAAGAAAATGATTTTGGAACATCTAGTTGTTGGAAGGCTTAAAGCACAAAATATCAACCAGGTAACTTATTCACAATCTTTGAGTTAAGACTAAATGTGAGCTACTGCTCAAGTTTACATATATCCTAAATTCTAAGGTCATTTTTTAATGCTAATGGTTAGATGTCCGTAACTCTGAGGTCATTTTTTATTCTAGTTGCATTCTGTGAAGTGTGAACCATCTGATCCAAAAAATTAAACTGGTAGAGATGGGAAAACTTTTAATACTTGTTTAGGCTTTCAATGCATCACTAGCACATGGAAATGTTTTGAGATGGGGGAAGGTGAGACTCAAACCTAGGACCTGTTCTTGTTCTTATACTATGTTGAATTTCAGTTACATCTTTGTCTAAGATTTATAAAATGTATTTTTACTGGGAGAAAGTACTTGCAATTTTTTTTAATTAGCAGTGCGATTCAAATTTAGGGCTTATGCATACTCTTAAAGCATGTTGAATTATATGAATTGTCTCGTTTAAAAGTTTAAGTTGTCTAATAGGGATGCTTTTGATTATTTATATTAGTCTTCAATAATTGTCATCTTTCCAAATTAACTATTGTGATTCTTTAAGTTCCTTTGTACTATACTGTCTTGTTTGGATTGTTTGGTCGACGCAAGGCGACGGCATTGCTCTGAGGATACTGGGTGTTCAATAGACGATGAAATTTTATGCATTAGACAATTAAATTATTCTTGCATTGAGTGTGTACAAGTCGTTGAAGACACTACAATTTTGTGTGCATTATTTTATATAATGGTGGCGTCTAGGCCAGCTCGGCGCACCTTGACTATTTGACCGGATAATATGTACCTGCTACGTCCCACGAGCATATGTACTAAGTAACGTCGCCCATCAAGGCTTAGACAGCAACAACTTACCGAGTGTGTGTGAAATAGCAGCGTGAGTTCAACGAAATCACTTAGCTACAATTTTGTGTACTCTTGTTGAATGGAGGCTTTAGATCCATGCAACTTAAAAATCTTGAATTTCGTTGAACTCACACTGCTATTTCTCTATCATGGTACTGCTTTATTCTTTGATGCACCTATAACAATGTCAGATTTTAGTAATCCTTGATTTTGAACCTAAGTGATTTAACTTCCATTGTGAGGGACAACTCATAAGGTGAAAGTAAGTAAATGAAACTTTGGGACTTCCAAATTCTTAAAGAGGGACTTGTAGGCTTCGTAAAAGTGATCATGTAGATCTCACTATAAGGAATTCCCAAAAAGAATATTTATTTTTGATTTGTGTCTCTCAATCAGTAAATCGTCCTATCGAATCTTGCTTTAATATACTCCCTCCGTTTCAATTTATGTGAACCTAGTTCCTTTTTAGTCCGTACAAAAAGGAATGATCCCTTTCCTTATTTGGAAACAATTTACCTTTATGCAATGATTTATAGCCACACAAAATATATGTGCCTCATTTTATACCATAAGTTCAAAAGTTTCTCTCTTTTCTTAAACTCCGTGCCCAGTCAAATAGGTTCACATAAATTGAAACGGAGGGAGTAATTCTTTTGTGCTTTTGAACAAAATATTGTGTATTTCTTGATATATATGCTTGCGATTGCGTCTCTCCTCTCTCTGTCACAGAGACCAAGATATTACCTGGTACATGGTCTCCTACTAATTTCCTTTGGTTGGTTAGATAGATGGCCAGGCGGAATTAGTGAT